GAGGCTGAGTCTCACGCACCTTTCAGAGCCTCGTTGATATAGGTTTTGTGGTAGAATATCCTTGCTGTGTCGTCCAGCGTGGGGCTCTCCAGCCCCTGTCCATTCTCAGTGATGTAAATGGGAATGTTGCCATACTCTTCCTTGATCCAGTTCAGCAGCCTCCGCATCCCCCAGGGCACGGCCGCGTGCACTGCCGTGGAGACGGACGGAGAGGTCATGTCGCTGACCGTCAGCTCCCGGTCATCGTCATAGCTGGGTGGGTTCAGCCTTGGGGTGTTATGCTGCACATACACGGACGAGTAGGTGTTGAGGCAAAAGACGTCAGCGGTACCCCTGATGTAACCCTTCTCCTCCTCTGTGAAGATGGGCAGGCGGGACTCAGCCAGGCGCTGCAGTTCACTCCTGTTCCCCACATTCCACTTCATGACATCTGGGTAGTCCCCATTCCTAAAAATGGGGTGGGCAAACCAGCCCAGGGAAAACTGCAGCATCCGGTCGGCAGCTTCCACATCTCTTTGGAGCCCTGGGTCCTTGGGTTCCACCCAGTGAGTGTTGAGGCTCAGGGAAATGACCCCCTTCTGCTGCTGCCTGTATTTCTTGTCGTAAGTATGGTAGACTCTGGCGTGAGCCTTGATGATGACGTGGCTGACCCTGTAAGGTGCCCAGCCCGGGTCCTGCACATTTGGGGGAAATACCCCTGCACTATAGCCCAACAGCACCATATACAACGGCTCATTAAAGGTCATCCAGAACTTGACTCTGTCACCAAAGGTCTTAAAACAGAAGTCAGCATAGCTGTTGAACAAGTCAACCAAAGAGGAGTTCTCCCAACCTCCAATATCCTGGAGGGCCTGGGGCAGGTCCCAGTGGAACAGCGTCACCATGGGGAAGATGTTGCTCCCCACCAGGCCGTCAATCAGCCTGTTGTAATAATCCACACCGTGATTGTTGATGGAAGTGTTCCTTCCTGTGGGGAAGATCCGAGACCAGGAGATGGAGAACCGATAGGCCTTGACCTTGAGGGTGCGAAGAATATTCAGGTCGGCATCCAGCTGGTGGTAGCTGTCACAGGCTACGTCTCCGGTGGCATTGTCTTTCACACTGTTCCCCGGGGTGTGGGTGAAATTGTCCCAGATGCTGGGGCCTTTGCCATCAGCGTCCCAGCCTCCTTCGATCTGATAGGCCGAAGAGGACACACCCCACAGGAAGTCATCCCGGAACGTGCCATGATAGAACAAATCTCTTTCAAACTTGGGCTGACTGGAGAACTTCTCCCACACTATTTTAGCCTTGGAGGGCACCTCAGACGGGAAGGTGAAGAGGGCTGGGGCTCTGGAGGCAAGGTCTGCTTTCGGAGGCAGGGGGCTGCTTCTTGCTTTCCCGGCGGGGAAACCGTTCTTTTCTATGACGCTGGTGAAGAAGTAGGCAGATTTCCTGGCAGTCCTTGGCCTGCTGCTGTCGTTAAAGTTGACATGGTACAGGCCGAACCTCTGGCTGTAACCTGAGGGTCCTTCGAAGCCATCAATGAGGGAACGAACAATGTATGAACGGACGTCCACCAAATCCTCCTTGACAGCTATAAAGAGAAAACAAAAGTTAGGCATGTGCAAGTGTGTGTGCGTGCGCGCGTGCGTGTGCGTGTATGTGTGAATGCATGTGAAGACGATCTCAGCTGTTGTTCCTCAGCATGCCACCCTCTTTTTTTTTTTTTTAACTTAAAAATTATTTTTATGTGTACGGGTGTTTTGCCTGCATGTACGTCTGTCACCACATGTGTGCAGCGCCTACAGAGGTCAGAAGAGGCCATCAGGTCCCCTGGGACTAGAGTTCCACTCCTGATCCCACTGCCTCCGCCTCCTGAGTGCTGGTGTGAGCAGCATACACTCCCCGGTTTACACAGCGCTCCGGATGGACCCTACTGCTGCCAGCACGCTAGGAGAGCACGCTACCTCCTGAGTTACATCCCCTGACCTATTCATTATTATTATTATTTTTAAAGATTTATTTATTTATTTATTTATTTATTTATTATGTATACAGTGTTCTGCCTGCAGGCCAGAAGAGGGTGCCAGATCTCATTACAGATAGTTGTGAGTCACCATGTGGTTGCTGGGAATTGAACTCAGGACCTCTGGAAGAGCAGTCAGTGCTCTTAACCACTGAGCCATCTCTGAAGCCCCCTATTTAATTTTTTTTGAGACAGGTTCTCACTAAGTATTCCAGGATGACTTTGAACTCTCAATCCTCCTGCCTCTGATTACAAGTGCTGGGATAAAGGGATGCACCACCATGCCTAGCAACAAACGTCCCTGGATCACATGAAGATGGAGGTATAGGCTGGAGAAGATATGGATGCTAGGCCATTAATCACATCTTCTCAGATGGCCGATTCTCATCGGCTTCTGAGAGTGACAGGTGAACTCATTCTAGGTGAGCGACCTATGTGCTGAAAACCACTTGCCACCCTTTCCACTTGGATAAGAAGGTGCGTGGGTCAGACTGAGCGTGTATGTGTGGCTCAGCTACAGAAAAGGGAAGCGCAGTGCAGACTGGACGGCCAGCTGAGGGGGGCGGAGCTCAAAGGGCTGGTGCCCTGAGGGGAATCAGCGGTCTGGGGTCCTAGCCTGTGTCAGCCCATCTGCACCCCACTAGGGACTGAGGGCCTCTTTCAGGAGGGATGACATTTATTCGGTACCGTGTCCTCACTGTCTTACACAGTCCCTGGTTCCTCGTGCTCTCAATGAACACTGGTTAACCAAGTGCGTTAGACTACTGGACTGGAGAGGCTGGTGCAATGGTCCAGTAAAGAAAGGCTCTTGGTGAGCAAGTCTGATGACCCGAGATCAGTCTCTGCCCTGTCTCATTAAACAGAACTCTGAAGCCTCAGGGGAAGAGCCGCCCCCCTCGGGATCAGCAGCCTTCTTACCCTTGAGCACCTCGTTGATGTACAGGTTGAAGTAGTTCACCCTCACCGAGTCGTCAAGGAGATCGTCTCCTTCCCCTACCGGCATGCCATTCCCAGCCACGAAGATTGGAACTCTTCCCTTCGTGTACTCCATGGAAGCAAACTGCAGCAGCCTCCTTATGCCCCAGGGCACCACCCGCATCCAGGGAGATGCAGTCTGGGGCCACGTGGGGTCCACGTGCTGGGAGAATCCTCCGATGTTATCGTAGCTGGGGATGCAGGTCTGCCGCCCAGCCTTGCTGACCAGGCGGGACGTGTAATGAGACAGACCAAGGAAGTCCGCCGAGCCTTTCAGGAGCTGCTTCTCCGCTGCAGTGAACTCCGGGAGTTGGGCCACAGGACCACCACACTGCTGGTTTATCTGCCGGATCTGGGCCCGAAGCACGGTGGGGTAGTCCCCATCCACAAAGATGGGGTGTGCAAACCAGCCCAGCATGAAGTGCAGGAAGCGCTCAGCGGCAGCAAGGTCCTGGGGACTCTGCCCATCCAGAGGCTCTGCCCAGTCGGAATTGAGCACAATGCCCACGCGCCCCTGCTGCTGTTGGCGATAGTGAAGGTCGTAGTGATGCCAAGTTCTGGCGTGCGCCTTGAGGATCAAGTGAGCCACCTTGGGAGGGAAAAGGGAGGAAGGTAATGTCAACAGCGGCACTAGCAACTCAGTCGTGTCGACAAGTTACTGCCGAAGTCAACAGAATCAGCAATGGGGCTGGGATGGGGCTGCAATGGTCGACAGCCGCCTATTCACAAAACCCCGGGCTCCAACTCCTGCACTACACGACCCTGGCATGGTGGTGCAAGCTGAAATCACAGGAGCCACTATAAACACTCAGGAAATTCTCAACCATAAGAAAAGCTTACCTGGCGCACACCTTTAATCCGAGCACTCGGGAGGCAGAGGCAGGCAGATCTCTGTGAGTTTGAGGCCAGCCTGGGCTACAGAGTGAGTTCCAGGAAAGGCGCAAAGCTACACA